AAAGAGGCTGGAGTGGGTACCAAACCAAAGCCCTGTCCCTGAAGCTTTAGCAGAGCTGGGAGCAGAGCGGGAAACATGTTTCAACCAGAGACCCCAGGTGAGGCTGAAGTGTCGCCAAGCCGGGGCCCAGCTGGCTCTCCGGAGCCAGGAAGCCATCACAGCAAGGATGTCTGTAGTTTGCTTTCACCCACGTCTGGCAACTTGGCTTAAGCCTTCGGGAGGACGCTGAAGCAGAGATGGTCTGTTCCCAGATCGGTCTCTTGGTCCCTGAAAGACGCTGAGCTTTGAGCGGCCCACTGAGACACTCCTCCCCCAGCCATGCCTGGACCAGAGGGCTCTGGCACCATCTGGTTTCCTTTGCCTGGTGTGGGACTATCTCAGGAGAGGCCAATGCAGCTCCAACCTAGTGGGGGTTCAGAGCACTGCTTGTTCAAGTCCTTCCGGGTCTTGGGATGTGTGAACTTTCTTCTCTGGGGACCAGTACCCATGGAGGAAAACACCATGGGTAGGATCAAGATCTTTTTCAGGCCTCCTATAGCCAAGAAGTTGAGAGCTTTTACACAAGGCTGTAGGGAAGAATTCTTTGGCCACCTTTTGAAGTTCCTACTTGGGCACAGGGGAGTCACCCTTCTCCAGCTTCCAGTGTGAACTGAGAAAGGGAAACCCTCTCTCTGGAGAAGCTGGGACCTTCCCGGCACGAGAGACTTCCGCAGGCCCCTGCCTGGCTCAGGGCTAGCCTTCGGGTGGGACTGGAGTTTCCTGAGAAGGGAACGAGGGAGCCACAGTCCTCCCCTGAGCTCTGACCAGCAGAAGGCCTATGCTGTGTGTCATTAGGATAGCTTGGTGTTGTCTACACCCCATTAGTAAGTTCCGTCTGAACGTGTCCTCACTGTTCATCGTCCAATTTGGTAACATTGATTTTGGTCCAGACCCCTTCTGCTGCTGCTGGGTTTGAGCTTCAGTGCAGGTGGAATGACATTCAAATAAAGAAACACTTTATATCACCCATGCTAGCTTCTCCTTCTCTGAGTTGGCCCCCAGGGGATTAAGAGGGGCAAGATTCAACCTGACCCTTTGTACCAGCCGTGGCTGCGTATTAACAGACCTTATGTGGAGGTAGCCAGACCATGACTGACATGGAACCCAGCACCACTTTCAATCCTGGCTTTCATCCTCAAGGACACCTCATGGCCTGAAGTGGCTGCTTGGACTCGTCACTTTGATCCACATTTCATTTTAAAGAGACTTCTGGAGATCCCGTAGGACTGAGTCACACTGCACACCTGAAACGTAATCTGTTAACAAATAAAATTGTTTCCAAGGTGAAAGGAGAGAACAGCTGGCAGTCTCTGCCAGCTCCTGATTACATGGGCTTGAAAACAAGGCTCCACCCTTTTCTGCCTGTGTGGCCTTGGGCAAGTCCTTTCACTTCTCTCTAAAGTAAGGAACAAATGAGGGAATGCGTGTGAATTGCCTCCCAGTGTCTTGCACATAGTTAACATGCCCCATGTGGCAGCTACATTGATTACAATTTTTGCACTCGGGAATTGAATCTTCTTTCAACACATTGTGAGCACACAGTATCTGCTAAGAAGTTAAAGTAACAAAATCAGAGTTTCTGTCTTAAGGGTCTGGTTGGGGAGATGAAGTCTGCCTGGTGCAGGGTACTGTGGGTACCCCAGGTAGGGATACCTTGCATGGCTTTAGGTGGGGTGGGTAGAGCAGGGGATGGACAATTTTAACTGTAGGATGAACAGGAGGTAGGCAGGCAGGCAGGGGCGAGGAGAGCCATTCATGAAAGACAACGCAGCTTGGGGAAAAAGGCCGAGATGAGAAACCGAAATGAACCTGTGAAGAAATAAGAGCAATTTAGAAACGCTGAACTGTAAACTGTGAGGTAGGGAGGGTCAGGGATTAATCTGGAGAGATCAGCAAAGGCCAGATGATGACTAAGCTCTGATGCTGTGTACAGCAGTTCAGACCTAAGGGCAATGGGGAAGGATTTTAAGCTGGAAAAGGATACAATTAGATATGCATTTCAGAAAGATCACTCTGGTTGTAGTGTTGGGGGGTTGAGTTAGATGGAGACAATTTTAAGAAAAAGTAAAGCAGAAGTCTGGCCTGAAGCAAGGTGGTGGCAGTGGTTTTGAGAGATGTAAGGAATTCAATACTTAGGAAATAGG